TCTCTCTCTCTCTCTCTCTCTCTCTCTCTCTCTCTCTATCCTCTTCTCTTTCTCTCCCTCTCTCTTTTTCTTTCTTTCTTTTTTTGGTTTTGGTGGTGGTACTAGGAATTGAACCCAGTGCCTTCACTCTGAGCTAGATCCACAGCCCTTTTAGCTGTTTATTTTGAGACAGGCTCTCACTAAGTTGGTGAATTGGCCAGGCTGGGGTTGCATTTTCAATTTTCCTGCCTCAGCCTCCCAGAATGTTGGTATTACAGGTGAGCGCTACCATGCCCGGCTTCATGGGAAATTCTTTTAAAAAGGCCTCTTCCTACAAACGTGTGTGTGTGTGTGTGTGTGTGTGTGTGTGTGCGTGTGTGTGTGTGTGTACAGTCACGCGCCACTCAGGGACAGGGACAGCTCTGTACGTGTCCTGACGACAGTGCTGCACATCGTTTCACGTGTGTATGGGACATTTATCTCTGATTGCCTACAGTGTCAGCCTCAGTCTGCCGGCGGGACAAAGCCCCGGTGTAACAGAAATGCAGGGTGGAACTCAGATTTGCCGAAGCTCCCTGCCCCAAGGGCTATGAGCCCACAAGCAACAGGACGAGGGCAGGGGGCCCACACTGGGGCTCCAGCTTCAGCCCTCCTCTCCCTGCCTCTGCACGTGGGCTCTGACCCTCCCATGGCAACACCCACAGGTGGTGATGCCTTCTCATAGCACACGTTTGAAAAGCAGTTTACTAGCTTGGCGTGGTGCCGCAGGCCTGTAATACCAGCACTTGGGAGGCAGGGGCAAAGGCTACATAGCGAGACCCTGTCTCAAAAATCCAAAAACAAACAAAAGAAGCAAAGGCATTTACTAAATGCACAGTTAATCAAGAGTTGCGTGCCGGGAGTGTTTCTGGCTTTTCAGCCTTGGCGGGGGCCCTGGGTTGGATAGTGTCCCGGAAATGGCCTGGGCAGGTGGGATGAGTGGAGACACCATCGTGGGCTGGGTCTGAGCCTCATGAGGGTGGTCAGGACATGGGCACAGGGAGGGAGACAGCTGGGTGGCTGCCGAGTCCAAGGTGGGATTTTTGCCACCATGAGCCAGGCATGTTTGTGCCGCAGCAGCCAGCAGTGAGAGGTGGGCAGGGCCTGCAGAAGAAGGGGCCCCAGGGACACCTCGATTTCATGCTTCTGACCAGAACTGGGAGAGCACACACTTAAAGCCACCGTCTGGGGGACTCCTTACGCTGCAGTAGGAGACCGTGTGGGGACACAGACTTGCCGATGGGAAAGCCCTGGGCACGCCCTGGCCCTCGTCTCTCTCTGTCCACCATATGTAGTCGCCGAGACAGCAGTGGCTGGACACAGTGGCCAGGACACTTGCTGCGGTGCCCACTTGAACAGGGAGACAGGACGTGTGGCGCCAACCGCACAGGCTGCAGTGGGGCGTGATCATCACGCTCCGCCCTCCCCACACACTGGTCCTCCCGGCCAGGACTCGGATTTGCCGCTGGGTCTCTAGGTCTCACGGTGTGACTATTCCTCGTCTCCTCCCACGGGCTGCAGATCTGCCACCAGCAAATGTCTTGCACATCAACCGCTGCTCCCCCGCCCAGCCGGCTGCTAATCATCCTGTTTGCCTCTGTTCCCAGAGGCCCGCCCAGCACTGGCCAGCTGCTGGGCCTCGGCCGGGGAACACATTTCCATCACTGTATTAAGCTTGTGTTTCCCGACAGTTTCAGTGGATGACTGCTGGCATTGCCAGGCATCCAACAGTTCAATTTTGAGTCTAGGAGACAATTTTTGCAAATATCCGTCAGGTGTTTGTGTTTGTGTTTCTACTGAAACCACCTGGAAGCCCTGTTAAAATGTAAATGGAAACCTCTGGAATGGAAGAGAAACAAAGCTCTAGAAGAAATGCTGGATCTTTATCAGAATCACTGCTACTCTTGAAGTCGGCGATTGAAAAACTCACTCTGGAAGATAGATACTGCACAGTGTGTGAGCTGCAGCCCATGGGCCCTGCTGAAAGCACAGGGGACCCTCGCCTTGGGGCTCCAGGGACTGCGATGTTTGTGGCTTCCTATGGCTGAAGGTGGCCTGGCCTCGCCCATGCTGGTCCTTTCCTACACGTGGCCTTGGGGCACATTCCCTAGCAGCACTGCCGGCCACGTCCAGGTCCCGGCCACCTGAGTTCACACCAGCACCTCAGTAATGAAGAAACAGGGGGTCTGAGCTGGGGGCCTCGAGGGCTGCCCCAGCCTCCCGTGAGTCAGCTCCCTGGAAACCCTTTAAACACAGCCTATAAAGCGTGCAGTGCTCCTCCCCGGGGAGGACCCCTGTCGGGTGCTCGAAGCTCCGATGTGACCTGCGCTGACTCTGCTGGGGACTGAGGGGCAGTGGGGCTCACCTGCCCTGAACAGCGCTCTGAAGACCCTAATGCCTGAAGACCCTTTGCTTTTCAGGCGAGCCAGGCGTGCTACCGCCGGGAGCCAGAGCTGGAGCTGGAGCCGCTGCCATGGCAGGAGCCACATGCAGAAGTCACAAGGGGAGGATGGCTGGGCTCTGCACGTTGGGAGGGACTCAGGCAGTGGCTGCAGCAGGGCCTCTAGCGCAAGGGGACCGTGCTGTGAACTATGCCATCCTTTCAGGGTTCAACTTCCTCACCCAAGGGTCCCAGAATTAGCGTCTCCTCCTCCACCTCGAGGAACATGGTCACTTCCGGAGCCCCAAAGAGCTCTAGAGGTAACAAGGTTCACACAGGCTGGCCTGGCTGTCCCCGCAGGGCCAGGGTGGGTCACGGGCAGGAAGGGCGCCACGCTCTGCCCGCCTGTGACTCCTGGCATGGGCTTTCAAAGGCGAACTCCTTCCTCCGCCTCACCCCCAGCACTTGTCCCCCTGGGCCATCCCTGGCCCCAGAGCGGTGGGACATTCAGACACCCGGCCTGTGGAGGGCGCCCCTGGTGGCCACATCTGAACTTTACCAGCTGAAGTTCAGATTTATTTCTTACTCTCCTAACAGCATGAAACGACTAGACTAGGCTTCTCTCAGCCTCCCGGGCTCCCCGAGGTAGGCCCCGGGGTGTGTGGATCACAGGCGATTGCTGAGACAGAATTCAAGCTCAAGTGTGAAAGGCTGCTTTTTAATCAGGTCTTGGCAACTCGAGAATGGCACTTCTGGGAGGCGCGGTGCCCTTCAGTGGTGCTCCCACACACCAAGTTGGGGGTTTGAGCCGTTCCTAGTTTGAAATCGCAAATACAAGGCAGAGGCAGGAAGCTGTGGTTGGCCTTGGAGCTCTCAGTGAGGCGTTTTCCGCAGACAGTGCTGCTGGCGCTGTCACAGCGTGAATGCAGGTGGCTGGCGCTGCCGCTGGCCAGCTGGGGCCCCCGGCCCCAGGTCACTTGCGAGGCTGCTGGATGTGCTGGGTCCTCGGCGAAGGGTGCTTGTCTATGGAGGCGTGGGGCTTCTGGTGAGCCACCTGTGCAGCTGCCGGGGGGAAGTCTCTGTCACCCTGTGAGGAGACAAGAAGGGGGCACAGCTGTGACAGAGTGTGGAGGCCCCGGCCCCAGTGTCCCCCGCTTCCTGCAGGCCGGACAGGGGCTGCAGTGGGCCACGGGTGGTGGGTGAGAAGCCGGTCCTCCGTGTCTGGGGTCCTGAGGCCAGCAGAGCCGGGAGCTGAAGGTGGAGGAGCCCAGGGGCCACAGGGTGGGGGAAGCTCACGGGTCTGCCTTGCTGGGCTGCTTTTCGGATCGTTTGAACGGGGCAAGACAGGGCCTCAGGTGGAGTCTAAGCCACGGACCCGTCTGCCAGATGGGGGGCTGGCGGGGTGGAAAGCCACAGGGGCAAGCGCCAGGCCCTGCCTGGTCTCAGCCAGGGGCCCGGCTGTGCTTGGTGAGGGGCCAGCTGGTCTCTGGCGCCCACAGTGGGCTGCCCAGGGCTGGGGCTGCTGGGGCCACTGTGCTGCGCTGAGCATTCGCACACACGGCCCACGGCACCGTCTGAGCCAGCTCTCAGGGAGGCTGTGGCCTTGGCTCCTCAGCAGAGCTGAAGCCAGCAGGGACCTGGTCTCGGACATGGTGTGGGCACTTGGACAGCCAAGGGCCAGCCTGGGTGGCCCAGGGGGAGGGGCTTTCCCGCGAGAGTCTCTGGGAAGACAACAGTGGACACAAAACCTCAGTCTGGGCCAGGGATGGCAAAAGAAAGTGGCCACAGGTGAGATGTCGGCGAGTGCTGTGTGCCACCCCAGCTACATTCGGGGCGCTACACCTTGTGTCCCCACATGCAGCTCTTAGGGTGCTTTTCTCAATCATTTAAAAATGTGGAAGCCTCTCAGCTCAGGTCGCCGTCGGCTGCCAGGCGCTGAGCCCACGGAGGGGACAGGAGCACAGGCCGGGGCTTCCTAACAGAGGCCGGGACCCCAGGGGGCGGTCCTTACCCGGGCGATGACACCGGAGATGAACACGGTCGGCTTGGGTGGGCTGGAAGAGAAGGAGAGGTGGGGTGAACAGGGCCGTGGAGGGGCAGGGAGCCAGGGCTGTGGAACGGGGCGAGGCTGGGCGGGGGCGCACCCGGCAGAGGTGGCTCTGTTCACTCGGAGGAGAGCAGGGGGTCAGGGCCTCGTGACAACCAGGACGTGGGCCAGGCGGCCCTTTCTCGGAGGTCTGGGCTGCGTGAGAAGGTGGATTGCAGCAAGCAGCAGCCAAACTGCCCGAGAGCACTGTTTGCTTTTCGGTGATTCCTCAGATCTCCACGATGGGCAAGCCCAGCTGCTTTGGTTTAATGACCAAACCAAATGGAAACAGGCACCTCCTGAAGCCGGGAGGAAGCTGCTCCATGTTGGGATGAACCTCCTGCCTCAGCCACCAAGGGTTACCCCTTCTACAGCCCCAGGTCCACAGCTGCCAGCAGCTTCCACCTGGAGAGATCCCAGCGCCGAGGCCAACTCCTGGCCGGCCCCTGTGGTCCAGGTATTATACACGTCAGGTCCTCATGCAGCTACTGCATCTTCAACACCTTCATTCATACTGAGCTCGCCAAAGGGCCCCTGAATGGAGGAGACAGGGGACTGTTCATCGATGAGAGACAACCAGAACACGCTAACATCACGCATGATCCTGCCTAAAGGCGCTGAGAACTGCTCACTGTTCCTCCTGTCTTTCCACGGATGCGGCACGTGCTTGATGTACAAAAACAGAGCCACTGCTCTGAGAAGGGGTCTCCAAACCGCACCGCCAGGGGCACCCCGTGTTCTCACCTGCGCCCCAGTGCCTGTGTCTGGATGCCCCCGTCCCAGAGTTTAAACATCAGGGCTCAGGAGAGGGGAGGGGTGAGCCCCTGAAATGCTGCTGCACAGGTCAGCAGGCCAGAGCAGGAGGTGGATGTGAGCTCCCAGGACAGCTGGCCGGGGACAGGTGGATCTGAGGGAGCAGCACACATCCCAGCCCGCCCTGCTGCTCTGCCGCCAGGGCCCTCTTAGAACCGCACGTCTTAGCTTCATTGGCTGCAGGCAAACAGCTCAGTATTACACTTGAAATCCCCGAGTAACTTGTTACTTCGGGAGAAGAAGGAACTGAAGTTTACTAAGCAGCACAGAAACACAGCCCCGTGCTACTAGGCTTTCACTGGATGTCTGTTGTGCAGCTAACTGGGTAGGGTTTTGTCTTCCTTTCTGTGCCTGACTTAACTACGGGGTTCACAGCCAGCCGGAGGGGAGTGAGTTTGCTCCAGGTCAGGGCCTCCTTCGCACAGTGCAGGAGTTGGGTCGCATATGTGGGGCGGTGCATTGATCACTCCTGCTGAGGTGGCCCTAGGAGCCTGGGCGCAGGAGGACTGCTGGCCTGCCTTCTCCCACAAGTGCAAGCGTAAGGGTTCTTCGGGGAGGGCCGTCTTCCTCGACCAGCATCTGCTGACTGGGATAAACAAGCTCGCCAGACCGAGCCTAGCTGCCACTGACTCTCACCCTGGATCTCCTAACGACACCCCTGGAATCTGCCGCCCTAGTGCAGAGACCCAAGTATCTGTCATCCTTCAGACCGACCGTCGTGTGCCCGCACAGCCCAGAGGCATCTTGCTGCACCATTTCTCCAGATGTCGGGGCAGGTGGAGAGCTGAGGGAACACAGATTAACAAGACGCACGTGCTCCGCTCTGGTTAATCGGCCCCCAGACCCAGCCACGGAGCCGCATGGGACTCCAGGAGCATCTGACTACTGGGCCCCGAGGCCCATCCTGCAGGGACTGCCAGCTTTGCCTGTGGGGACACAGCCCACGGCTGCATCCTGACGCTTGTCAGTGCGTTGGGAAGAATCAGAGGCCATGGAGGCTTCTCTGGTCCTTCTGAAGGTCCTCGCAGGCGGTGTGGACTGACTCGTCCCATCTGTCCCGAGTCACACGGTCACCTGCCCTTAGCACCATCTGTCTGTGCCAAGAATGTCCCCTGTGCTTCGCGTTCCTTTTCTGGCCTAAGAGTTGAGGCTGTAAAGAGCAGGACAGTGGGGGACCCAGGGTGCCCAGCACTGGATGAGAAGGTCACACACAGAGGTCAGTAGTGAGCAGGAGCACACACGAGGCACCCTAAGTGAGGCCAGGCTAGGACACGTACACGGCATCCACATCACGGACAGTGCTGGAAAGCAGATAAGTAAAAGGTTAAAGTCACCTGCAGCTCTGCCGCCATCGAGGGTATAAGCAGACTCATGGACCGACTCACGCAGGCAGAGCTGGTGTGTGGGCAGCTGCACCTGAGCAGCAGAGCCCACCTCAGCAGTGCGGTGGTGACTGATCCCTGCTCCAGGCCCATGGGGACCCTGGTCACCAGCCAGCAGCCTCAGTTCCATGTCGCCGGGACGGCCCTGCCCACCGTGTCGGGTGTGAGGCCCCAGGAGGGTCCGGAGCCAGCAGGGCAGGTGGGGCTCTGCGCCTTCTTGCAGTGACTTGCAGGGGTGACTTCCCTCCCAGCAGAACAGGGTGGCCTGACTGTGGGCGGGTTTGGCACCAGCTCTCTCCTGGCTCCTACTTGAGCATCCTGCTGCCATAGAGCCCTCAAGGAGATGGTCCTACCGCAAACCTGAGAGACACTGGACTGGGGCAGTGACACTCAGGGACTGTGGTCGGGTTCTGTGGACCCACGAGGCCCTGGGCACGATGCTCTGCTCACTACTCTGACCCTACGGGATGTTACCACATGCAGAGCAGTGACTCCATCCACTGGGTCTCGGCTGCTGTGGGCTCTACTCATAAATGGACAGGGCCACCGTAAAGCAGCTGGCTCCGGGCAAACCATTGGGTCTGGGCGGAGGGTGCTGGCCTCTCAGGAAGCAGCACTGGGTGGTAAATGCTGCCCGGTGTGGCTTCGAGGCGTGGGGCAGGGCATCGGGAGCATTAGGCCCACACATGATGAGCCACTTCTAGGCTGGGGGAGGAGGGGGCCAGGTGCCAATGTCCCGCAGCAGTGGCTCCCGCTGGAGGGCGGACAGCCCTTTCCAAAGGAATCTGAAATGGTGAATATTAAAGCCTCAGAAGTCAATATTAAATTTTTGTATTGAATTAGCATTAAATATTTAAAAAATAAGTAAATACTGAAAATGAAGACGCAAAAGTCCACGTATCGTCTTTTCAAACCCTTTCGGGTCCACGTCTAAAAATGCACATGTGGCACAGCAGTGCACATCCACGTCGCTGGTCGGGTCCACCATGCCCAGAGGCCTCCCCGCTGCCCCGCACGCTGTGACCGCGCCAGAGTGGCCACAGCGGGGCCCACCTGAGTGGCTGCACAGCTGAGGCTCTGGCGGCCCCGAGGAAGGACCAGGACAGAGGCTCGTGCACCCCACAGGGCTGACCCGGGGCCCAACAGCAGGGCAGTGACTATAATGAGGCATCAGCGCGGGGCAGAGCAGACTTTGGGGCACAACCTGCACCCATCACCCTGGCTGAGGGCATCGCCTGGCTGAGGCCTCTGGGGCGTTAGGCCGGTTACTGGGCAGGGGGCTTTGCGGGGTGCGCTGGGAAGCGAGGTGCTGGAGGGAGTAAGGACCCTGAGGGTGTGGCCGCCTGCGGGCGAGGTCCCACCTCAGGATGGTCCTCAAAGCAAAACAGCAAGCCCTGCGCTGCGTGTGCCAAGCCCCGAGCTAGGAGAGGGGCACTGGACAGACGAGGGGGTCTGCGTCTCCCGGTGAGCTCCAGGAACTCCCGAGGCCCTGCACCTCCCAAGTTCGCTGTAGGACCCAGAGCTCAGCGATCAGTTCAATGAGAAACGAGCTGTGCACCGGCTGGAGCGTACACTTCGGTGCTGTGGACAACTCGAGATGCTCCGCTGTCTCCCTCTCCACCCATTCCTGGAGTTCTTTCCTCACCCCGGCAACTTCTCTCTGTCCCCATTAGCAGTGCAGACCCCTGCCGCCCCTGGCTGCTCTCTACTGCTCTTCATCCTATGCGGTGTCTTTACCGTCCCTCCATGCTGGAGCACACGTCAGCACTCGCTCCTTTTGGAGGTGACAATATTCCATGGCACGCTCACATGTGCGCATGTGCACACACATGTATGCATGTACACATGCATGTGCCCACCACATTTTGTTTATCCACAGACATGTGGGTGTCTCACCTTTTGGGTGTTGTGCATAAGGCGCTGTGAACATGGGTGCATGCCTATCGGCTCAAGCCCCTCCCCTCCACTCCTCTGTGTGTGCACTCAGAAGGGGACAGCTGGACCCTATGGGAACGCTCTGCTGAAGTTTTTTATTTTAATGGTGCTGGGAATTGAACTCCCAACCTTGCACAAGGACCCTACCACTGAGGTGCACTTGAAGCCCGCCTGCCCCTTAGAGTACTCAGGGCTGAACCCAAAGCCTTTGTACTAAGCTGCATCCCCAAGCCCTGGGTCCCCTTTTTTTGAGACGGGGGTTGCTAAGTCACTCAGCTGCTCGGCTGAGCTCAAGATCCTCCCGCCCCAGCCTCCTAGAGGGATAGGATTACAGGCACGCGCCACCACACCTGGCTTATAGCTATCTTTCTGAGGAACCACCAAACTGTTCTGCACAGTGGCTGCACCAATTTACACTCTGACCAGAAATGCACAAGCTTGTTGGTTTCTCCACTCTGAAAACACTTGTTATTTTCTGTTTTGGGCACAAACCGTCCTAGTGGGTGAGAAGTGGTATCTCATTATAGGTTAGATTTAGCAGCTAATTTTAAGAGCCAGCTTCCTTGTATGAGGAATGGCACACATTGTTCTGTGCTGATGATTCATCCAAGGTCTTCAGGGACGAGGACATCCCTCTGCCCCCGTTCTTCTAGTCACTTCTAAAACCTCGAAGGCACACCCAGCTGTGAGGACACTGCCCTGCCTGCGAAAGTGTGGAAGCCACCTGCCCGAGACAGCCAGCGGCAAGATGTGGCCCAGGGCCCTGTGCGGGCCAAGCTGAGGTTGCACTTCGGAGTCCATTGGCCTCCTGCAGTTAGCAGCATCTGAACCTGGTGAC